TATGCCAATAAATGTGCTTAACAATGGAGACAGGAAGGAATAAGGGAGGAAGGTAATAAACAAGCAGCCAACCAATCTTTCATTTAAACCTGCAAAATGCTATGCAATTGCTGAGGAGTGATTTACTTCCAATTTTGTGGTCACTTTTAGAATAGGTGTGATGTGATACTGACTGAGAAAAATATATGTTTTGTGGATTTGGGATGGAGCTGTATTGGGTATGTATATATTTAGGATCGTTAGCTCTTCTTGTTGCATTGATCCTTTTACCATTATGTAATGTCCTTCTTTGTCTCTTTTGGTCTTTGTTGCTTTAAAGTCTATTTTATCAGAGAGGAGAATTGCAACTCCTGCTTTTTTTTTTTTTTTCTCTCCATTTGGTTGGTAAATCTTCCTCCAACCCTTTGAGTCTTTGTGTATCCTTGCATGTGAGATGGGTCTGGATGCAGCACACTGATGGGTTTTGGCTTTTTATCCAATTTGCCTGTCTATGTCTTTTGATTGGGCATTTAGTCCATTTAAATTTGGAATTGATATTGACATATGTGAGTTTAATATTGCCATTTAATGCTAGCTGGCTATTTTGCCCATTAGTTGATGTAAATTCTTCATTATGGTGATGCTCTTTAGCTTTTGAATGGCTGATACTAGTTGTTCCTTTCTATGTGTAATGCTTCTTTCAGAAGCTCTTGTAAAGCAGGCCTGGTGGTGATGAAATCTCTGAGTACTTGCTTGTTCTTAAAAACATTTATTTTTCCTTCACTTATGAAGCTTAGTTTAGCTGGACATGAAATTCTGGGTTGAAAGTTCTTTTCTTTAAGGATGTTGAATATTGGCCCCCCACTCTCTTCTGGCCTGTAGGGTTTCTGCTGAGAGATCTGCTATGAGTCTGATAGGCTTCCCTTTGTGGGTAACCTGACCTTTTTCTCTGGTTACCCTTAGTATTTTCTCCTTCATTTCAACCCTGGTGAATCTAATGATTATGTGCCTTGGGGTTGCTCTTCTTGAGGAGTATCTTTGTGGTGTTCTCTGTATTACCTGGAGTTGAGTATTGTCCTGCCTTGCAAGGCTGGGAAAGTTTTCCTGGATAATATCCTGAGGAATATTTTCCAGCTTGGATTCATTCTCTTCATCACATTCAGGTACACCTATCAAACATAGATTAGGTCTTTTCACATAGTGCCATATTTCTTGGAGACTTTGTTCATTCCTTTTTAGCCTTTTTTCTCTAACCTTGTCTTCTCATTTTATTTCATTAAGTTCAAATAACTTCAACCTCTGATATCCTTTCTTCTGCTTGATCAATTCGAACTGTTAAAACTTGTGCATGCTTCGTGAAGTTCTTGTATTATGTTTTTCAGCTCTATTAATTCACTTATATTCCTCTCTAAATTGTCTATTCTCATTAACATTTTGTCAGACCTTTTTTCAAGGTTCTTAGTTTCTTTGCATTGGGTTAGAACATGTTCTTTCAGCTCACAGAAGTTTCTTATTATCCACCCTCTGAAGCCTGATTCTGTCAATTCATCACACTCATTCTCCATTGGGCCTTGTTCTGTTGCTGATGACAGGCTGCGATCCCCTGTAGGAGGAGAGGCATTCTGATTTTGGGTGTTTTCAGCCTTTTTGCACTGGTTTCTTCCCATCTTTGTGGATTTACCCACCTGTCGTCTTTGTAATTGCTGACTTTCAGACTGGGTCTCTGAGTGGACATCCAGCTTGTTGGTGATGAAGTTTTTTTCTGTTTCCTAGTTTTCCTTTGGTGGATGCCCCTCCCCCAAAGAGCTGGCCCTTCCCGGGTTCAGCTGTGCTTGCTGTGAAACTCTCAATCTTCAGTGCTTCCAATTGCTGTTTTTTTGTGGGGTTGGGACCAGCCGAGCCCAATCACCTGGCTCCCTGTCTCAGAGCCTCTTCTTTTTTTTTTTTAAGTTGAACAGTTGACTCACTCCCAGGTGTTCCAGTCACCAGCAGAAAAGGTGCTGAAATCTATGTAATTTCCCCTGTGGCGACCCACTGCGTTGGCTAAAACAGTGGCGTTGAGATTCGTGGTGCTTTTCTGCCCAGGAATCTCCCAGTCTGGCTCCCCACTTCAGTCCCTGCTTCAATCAGCTGAATGGGTGACTCTGCCTTCCTGGAGCTCCAAAGGCCAACTAATAGGGCATCCAGTCCCATATACTCCATACTGAGAACCATCGTGCTGGGGCACCGGCAAAACAGCCGTGCTGGCCAAAAGAGTGGTGCTGACAACCCGTGGGGCTCCTCTGCTGGGAATCTCCTGGTCCATGGGCAACAAAAATTCATCTGGAAGTGTGGCGTCCACTCACTCTCTGTGCTTTCACTGGGAGCTACAATCCTGAGCTGCTGCTGATCGGCCATCTTGGCTCTCCTTTTTTTTTTTGAGACAGAGTCTTGCTCTGTCACTCACGCTGGAGTTCAGTGACTCACTGAAACCTCTATCTCCTGGTTCAAATGATTCTCCTGTCTCAGCCTCCTGAGTACCTGGGACCACAGGCATGTACCACCACACCCAGCTAATTTTTGTATTTTTAGAAGGGACAGGGTTTCACTGTGTTGGCCAGGCTGGTCTTGAACTCCTGACCTCAGGTGATCCACCTGCCTTGGTCTCCCAGAGTGCTAGGATTACAGGCATGAGCCACCACACCCAGCTGTGTTTGAATTCTTTCACTTGGCATAATGTTTTCAAGGTTCATCCATGTTGTAGCATGTATTAGTACTTCATTCCTTTTTTTTTTTTTTATCTGAGACAAGGTCTCGCTCTGTCACCCAGGCTGGAGTGCAGTGGCACAATCTCACCTCACTTCATTCCTTCTTATAGCTAAACAATATTCCATTGTATGACTATAACATTTTCTTAATTCATCTATTGAAGGACATTTGGGTCATTTCCATTTTTTGGCTATTGTGCATACTGCTACTGTAAACATTTGTCTACAAGTTTTTGTGCAAACATACGTTTCCAAGAGTAGAATTGCTAAGTCTTATTGTAACTATGTTTAACTTTTTGAGAATCTCCCAAATTGTTTTCCAAAATGGTAGCACCATTACCATCAGCAGTATATGAAGGTTCCAATTTCTCCCAATCCTCACCAATACTTGCTATTATCTGTCTTTTAAAAATAGCCATCCTAGGCCGGGAGCGGTGGCTCAAGCCTGTAATCCCAGCACTTTGGGAGGCCGAGGCAGGTGGATCACGAGGTCAAGAGATCGAGACCATCCCGGTCAACATGGTGAAACACCGTCTCTACTAAAAATACAAAAAATTAGCTGGGCATGGTGGCACGTGCCTGTAATCTCAGCTACTTAGGAGGCTGAGGCAGGAGAATTGCCTGAACCCAGGAGGCGGAGGTTGCGATGAGCCAAGATCGCACCATTACACTCCAGCCTGGGTAACAAGAGTGAAACTCCGTCTCAAAAAAAAATAGCCATCCTAGTGGGTGTAAAGTGGTTTCTCACGGTGGTTCTGATTTGCATGTTCCTGATGACTAATAATGCTAGGCATCTTCTTATGTGCTTACTGATCATTTGCATATCTTCTCTGGAGAGTCATGTATTCAGATCCTTCTGTCTATTTTAAAATGGGATTATTTGTCTTTTTGTTATTGAGTTGCAGGAGTTATTTATATATTTTGGAAAACTAGACCTTTATCAGCTACATATGATTTGCAAATATTTTATTCTATTATGTGGGTTTTTTCATTTTCTTGATAGTGTCCTTTTGTTACAGGAAAGGGGTCCCAATTCAGACCCCAAGAGGGGATTCTTGGATCTCACACAAGAAAGAATTCAGGGGGAGTCCTTAGAGTGAAAACAAGTTTATTAAGAAAGTAAAGGAATGAAAGAAATGGCTATTTTATAGACAGAGCAGCCCTGAGGGCTGCTGGTTGCCCATTTTTACTGTTATTTCTTGATGATATGCTAAACAAGGGATGGATTATTCATGCTTCCTCTTTTTAGACTATATAGGGTGACTTCCTGATGTTGCCATGGCATTTGTAAACTGTCACGGTGCTGGTGAGAGTGTAGCAGTGAGGATGACCAGAGGTCACTCTCATGGCCATCTTGGTTGTGGTGGGTTTTGACCAGCTTCCTTACTGAAGGCTGTTTTATCAGCAAGATCTTTATGACCTATATCTTGTGCTGATCTCCTATCTCATCCTGTGGCTTGGAATAACTAACTGTCTGGGAATGTAGCCCAGTAGGTTGCTCAGCCTTATTTTACCCAGCCCCTATTCAAGATGCACTTGTTCAGCCCCTACTCAAGATGAAGTTGCTCTGGTTCAAATGCCTCTGACATTTTGAGGCACTAAAGTTTTTAGTTTTGGTGAATCCAATTTATGTATTTTTTTCCTTTGTTGCTTGTGCCTTTGGTTTCATATCTAAGAAACTATTGCCTAATCCAAATTCACAAAGATTTACTCCTACATTTTCTCCTAAGGTTTTACAATTTTAGTTCTTACATTTAGGTCGTTGATCCATATTTAGTTAATTTTTGCATATCGTGTGAGGTAGGATACATATAATTCTTGCTTAGCCTGATGATAATCATGTGACCCTTGGTAAGTTCTTGTACCTAAGTCTCAATTTCCTTATTCGTAAAGTGAGAATAACACATGGTACCTAAATCATAAGGTTACAGTAAAGATAGAGAGAACACTTACATACAATATTTATCACAGTGCTTGAAGCATCCTAACTGCTCGATAAATGCGGTCGGGGTTACAATTGGAACATGAACCATGAGTGCATGCTTCTACCGTGAAGTGCCAGAAAGACCAGCAGCATTTCTCAGAAGGTAAACGGGAGGAAGTACGCTTGCTTAGTCCACTTAGACAAGCAGGTCTGGGATTGTTGTGAGAATCTCTGCCCTAGGTAGACCTCTGCCTCATGGTCACCTCTAGGGAGTGATAAAAATTCGAATTCTCGGGCCCCATAAGTACTACCTAAAAGATCTTCCTCTTAATACTGGGCCCGCAGTGGTGTCGGTGACAGTGGTAGCGCCTGCAGCGCCGCCTTTACCCTGCTGGAGGCGCCCGAGAGACCGGGGCGACCACGGCGGCTGCGCAGAGCCTTCCTTAAGCCGGCTGCCGCCCTAGCAAGATCCGCCCGGCTCAGCTGACAGCTACCGAGAACGGAAGAGGCGGCGCGCCGGTTCAGCGGGGCGTCCCTAGGCCTGGTCGGCTGGGGTCGGTGAGTGGGCCCCGGGCAAGGGCGGAGGGCGGAACTTTGGGGCTCGGCACTGCTGGACGGCCGGAAGGTACGGTGGGGACCGCTCTCTGGGCACGCGAGGCAGAGAAGGGGGCCGGGCCGGGACTGTTCAGTGGGCCTCAGTCCCTCAAACCCTCACTGGGCGTCCGCAGCCTGCCTGGCCAGGACTCCCTTCGGGACGCTGAGCTTCAGGGAAGGTTTGGGCCCTGCTCCTTCGGGACGCCGCAGGCTGGTCAGCAGCTCACGTGTCCGCGTAGCGCCCTCTAATCCCAGCGCTGGGGCTGATAGCTAGCCTTGGTGGGCCTGCCGCGGACCCCGGGTGGCGAGCGGAACCCAAACCGGGGCACCCGAAGACCAGATGGATAGAATGAGAAGGAAATGAGAGTTAGCAGCCTGAATTGAGGTACTGGATTCCAGGTGACAGCTTCACAAGCTGAAATCTCGTAGGGTAGGTCATGAGGAACTGTTGAAACCCTGCTTGAAGTACAAGTTCTTAGCCCTGGCTGCATATTGGCATCACCTGGAGGACTTGGCAAACCACTGAGGCTTGAATTAATTGTTCTGGGGTGTGGCCTGGGTATTGAGATTTTAAAAAACAGCTCCTCAGAAGATTCTAATGTGCAGACAGATGGGGAACACTAACCTAAAATCATAAACTGCATAAATGAATCTCTCATCCCATTTGCAAATGTTTTAACAGGAAAAAACAAAAAGCTTCATTCAATTAGCACCATAATCTCTCACCTAGTAAAACTGTTTAAGATTAAATAAGATAACGTGACAAAAAGAAAAGATCATTTACATTTCTTGAGCACCTACTATGTACTGTATAAGGGCCTAATACAGTACATAGTAGGTGCTCAAGAAATGTAAATTGATTCTGAATCTCTTTTTTTTTTTTTTTTTTTGAGACGGAGTCTTGCTCTGTCACCCAGGCTGGAGTGTGTAGTGGTGCGATCTTAGCTCACTGCAACCTCCTCCTCCTGGGTTCAGGCGATTCTCCTGCCTCAGCCTCCTGAGTAGCTGGGATTACATGTGCCCACCAACTATGGACTATATCCCCTTTTCCCCTTACCTCAGTGAAGAAGCCTAGCTCTAAAGCATTTAGAATAAAACTTAAAAAGTTTGTGTTTGTGTACTCTTGTTTAAGTATTTTGTTGATATCAAAATTAACCTTGAGTGTCACTGGCAGGATAAATTCATGAGCAAGAGAGAGGAAAAACTGGAGGGAAATGGCAAGTGAAGGAATATAAGAAGCAGAAGAGGAGAAAAAAACGAAACAAAAAAGAAACCTAAGAGGCTGTTTGTTATGGGGCGTGGTGTCCTGTCCTCTCATATGACCTTGGTGTTCTTCCTTAGCTCCTCCCCATGTCTGAGGGCAGACAGATAAGAAGTCCTCAGTCACTGCTGGGGACATGCAAATACTCCTTTAATCATGTGGGTCAGATAGTCTGCCCTAAGAGAGTAAAATGCACCTGTAGATTAGGATTGGCTATGTGTTAGGTTGGGTTTGACTTAATTGGTGATAATGGAAATTCAGAATTTTAATTTGGAGAGGGTCCTAACAGCATCTTCTGTGTTTCTTTTCTGCAGATGGCAGGATTTTCATAGTATTTGTAATATGAGTTCCACATCCTGGCCTCTTATCCAGCTTCAGCCGTCTCTGCTCCATCAGCTAGAGAATAAATGGGATGTGCACGAAGTCCACTCTGAACTGAAATACAGACTTCGGTGTTAATAATCCTTTTCTTCTGATTGTTATTAACAGGTACTAACTGACCTCAAGTAGAATATGTAAATGTGTCTACATATTTACATATGTAGGGATGCAGCTTAAGCAGAGCCATTAACTAACATCTCCTAAAAAAAAAAGTATTTTTTGAAAATGAAATCATTTTAAATTTTATAGTATCATCTTTTAGAATATAAAAGTTCCTTACTTTTCAGGCCAGGCATGGTGACTCAGGCCTGTAATCCCAGCACTTTGGGAGGCTGAGGTGGGTGGATCATCTGAGGCCAGGAGTTCAAGACCAGCTTGGCCAACATAGTGAAACCCCATCTCTACTAAAAATGCAAAAAATTAGTTAGATGTGGTGGCAGGCACCTGGAATCCCAGCTACCTGGGAGGCTGAGGCAGGAGAATTGCTTGAACCCAGGAGGCAGAGGTTGCAGTGAGCCAAGATTGCGTCATTGCACTCTAGCCTGGGCAACAACAAGAACAACAACAGCAACAAAATCCTAACTTTTCAATTTTGAACATTAATTTAATTAAAAATATTTTAGTTGTGAGGGGACGATATTTGCAAATGCAATTGTAGATCAATATTTTAATTGACAGAATGGTAGTTTTTTGTTTTATTGAAATGATTTTTGTAAATTCTCATTGCCTTTTTTGCACATTTAAATTACCTGGAATTGTGTTGTATCTTTCAGTTGATGCAATTTTTAAAAACATTGATTCATACTTTATTTTGCTTTTTGAGAAAAGGTCTTGCTCTGCCACACAGGCTGAAGTGTAGTGGTGCAAACACGGCTCACTGCAGCCTCAACATCCAAGGCTGAAGCAATCCTCCTGCCACAGTCTCCTGAGTAGCTGGGACTACAGGCACATACCACCATACCTGGCTAATTTTTATAGAGACAGGATCTTGCTATGTTGCCAGGGCTAGTCTCAAACTGCTGGCCTCAATCCATCCTCCTGCCTTGGCTTCCCAAAGTGCTGGGATTACAGGCATGAATCACCACACCCAGCCAGTTCATACTTTTTTTTTTTTTGAGACAGAATCTCATACTATTGGCCAAGCACGGTGGCTCACGCCTGTAACCCCAGCACCTTGGGAAACTGAGGCAGGCGGATCACCAGGTCAAGAGATCCAGACCATCCTGGCCAACATGGTGAAACCCTGTTGTAAATAAAAATAAAAAAATTAGCTGGGTTTGGTGGCACGCCTGTAGTCCCAGCTACTTGGGAGGCTGAGGCAGGAGAATCGTTGCCTCCTGGAGGCTCACTGCAACCTCCGGGGGGTGGAGGTTGCAGTGAGCCCAGATCATGCCACTATTGCCTAGGCTGGAGTGCAGTGGTATAATCCTGGCTCACTGCAACCTCTGCCTCCAGGTTCAAGCGATTCTCCTGCCTCAGCCTCCCAAATAGCTGGGATTACAGGCACCTGCCACCATGCCCAGCTCATTTTTTTGTATTTTTAGTAGAGATGGGGTTTCATTATGTTGACCAGGATGGTCTCGAACTCCTGACCTTGTGATCCGCCCACCTCAGCCTCCCAACAGTTCATACTTTAATTGTAGCTAGTTTCTCTTTTCTTTTTTGAGAGAGAATGTCTCTCTGTCACCCAGGCTGGAGTGCAGTAGCACAAGCTCAGCTCACTGCAACCTCTGCTTCCTGGGTTTTAGCAATTCTCAATTCTTGTGCCTCAGCCACTGAGTAGCTGGGATTACAGGCATGTACCTCCTACCTCCATGCCCGGCTAACTTTTGTATTTTTAGTAGAGATGGGTTTTTTTTGTTTGTTTGTTTGTTTTGCCATGTTGACCAGGCTGGTCTTGAACTCCTGGCCTCAAGTGATCTGCCTGCCTTGGTCTCCCAAAGTTCTGGGATTAAAGGCTTGAGCCACTCACTATGCCTGGCTCTTATAGCTAAATTCTTAGTATTATCTAAAATAATGGTAAATCTTCTTTAAAATTATCTTTTAAAAAATATTCTTGAGTCATAATTGTAAATCTTAATATTGATGGCTGCTTGGATTTGACAAACTCCGTTTCAAAATTTTAATATTTTGCTGCTTGCTCAGTTATCTAATTTTCTTGTGTAGTATCTATGCCTGTAACATCCTCAAGCACAGTTTTCTCAACTGGGAGCAATTTTGCCTTTAACCCCCCATCCTGCCCCAGGACTTCTGGCTATATTTGGAGATATTTCTTTTTTTTTTTAAGACAGGGTCTCTCTCACTTTGTCACCCAAGCTGGAGTGCGGTGGTACTATCATGGTTCACTGCAGCCTTGACCTCCCAGTTTCAAGCAGTCCCCGCATGTCAGCCCCCCAAGTAGCTGGGACCACAAGCAAGCACCACCACACCAGGCTAGATATTTTCAGTTGTCACAGTTCTTATGGGTGGAAGCAGGGCACTCACTATTGGGTATCTACTGGGTAAAAGCCAGGAAATGCTGTTAAACATTCTATAGTGCAGTGCACAACACTGCACCCTAACAACAATTATTACTCCAAAAATGTCAGTAAGGCTGAAGCTAAGAAAATCTGCCCTAAAGATTCCTGTGGATTTTAAAAATTCACTTCTTTCTTTTTTTGGAGACAGAGTCTCACTTTTGCCCAGGCTGGAATGTGGTGGCACAGTCTCGGCTCACTGCAACCTCTGCCTCCCAGGTTCAAGTGATTCTCCTGCTTCAACCTCCTGAGTAGCTAGGGGTGTGCTGCCACACACAGCTAATTTTTGTATTTTTAGTAGAGATGGGGTTTTACCATGTTGGCCAGGCTGGTCTTGAACTCCTGACCTCAGGTGATTTGCCTGCCTCAGCCTTCCAAAGTGTTGAGATTACAGGCGTGAGCCACTGTGCTTGGCAAATTCACTTATTTTAAGAAAGGAGTGTAATATACTTTGACCCCTTTTGCAAGCCGTCACTTTGCTAGGTTCAGTGGACAAGTTAAAGAAAATTTGTGATTTTTCCTTTTCAAAGAAAATTTTCAAATTGTGGTTTTTTCCTCTAATTCAGTCATAAAATACCTAACTGATAAAGTCAAGAATTAGAAGTACCACAACCATCCCTTTCGAAAAAGACTGTTACTGTTGCAAAGCTAATGGAATGCCAGATATGGCTGTCATTTTTGGTTTAGGAGAAAAGTGAGAATATCAATTAATTCTTTGCAGTCGTTTGTGAGGAACATTTTTAAAACTGCTATTAAACTTTTCCCATCTCTGTGCATTTTCTTTTCTTTTTTTTTTTGAGACAGAGTTTCTCCCTTGTCACTCAGGCTGAAGTGCAGTGCCACAGTCTCGGCTCACTGCAACCTCCACCTCCTGGTTCAAGCAATTCTCCTGTCTCAGCCTCCCAAGTAGCTGGGATTACAGGTGCCTGCCACCACGCCTGGCTAATTTTTGTATTTTTAGTAGAGACGGGGTTTTGCCATGTTGGCCAGGCTAGCCTCCAACTCCTGACCTCTGGTAATCCATCTGCCTCGGCCTCCCAAAGTGCTGGGATTACAGGCGTGAGCCCCCAGGCCCGGCCAGCCCTTGTGCATTTTCTGTTCTTAACTAATTTTATGTTTTCAGTTCCTCAGAAAATTAAATGTCGTCAGAAGACCGAGAAGCTCAGGAGGATGAATTGCTGGCCCTGGCGAGTATTTACGATGGAGATGAATTTAGAAAAGCAGAGTCTGTCCAAGGTGGAGAAACCAGGATCTATTTGGATTTGCCACAGAATTTCAAGATATTTGTGAGCGGTTAGTTAATAATATTTTCTTAAACAGATTATTCTTTATTTCTTAGGGTGCCTTAAGCTATTTGTCATTTTTGTGTTTATAGGCATTAGTGATAGGTGGTAGTATTACAGATTTAATGCATGTTTCTGTTTTAAATGAAAATTGCAATGAGGGGCAAGCAGTTTTCAATTTGATTCCACCTTTTTGATCACTGAAGAGGGAAATTATCCTGTGTGTTTCATACATGCTAGTCTGCTATCTAGCAATTTATCAGCATGAGTCATTGGCTGTTAAACAGGGATAATCAAAGAGAAAATGAATGTATGTGAAAACACTTGGACATTTTCAAGTACAGTGGTGGTTGTTAATACTATTTGGTTTCCAGAATCATTTCAACTCCTATAAACATGTGACACATGTTGTTAATATGTGACCTTTTGCTTCAGAAAAAAAACTGCTTTTGATACAGATATTTAGAGAAGACCTTGATGCACACTTTCTCAAAATGTTTCTACTATAAAGGGATTAAGGAATGTCAGTGCAATAATTTAAATGAAACTTTGATTGTGAGAATGTTATGTGCTATATCGTATCCTCAAACCTGAGATCATTATGTTGGCACAAATTTTCCCAACTATGATTCATGGGTAGTTGGCACATGCTGGTCTAAGTAGGTCATGACTGTTCAATAGAAATGAACACCCTTTCTCTAGATTGTGTCTTTAATCATCTACTGTAAACTAAACCAACAACAAAACATTGTGTGTTCCTTGGTCATTAGTGTTAGGAACTGTACCCAGAAGTATATACAAGAATGAGTTGTAGTATCTTCATTATACATTTCATGGTGCTTAGATTTTTCAAGGGGTTGCAATATTTTTTTAAGGTGGCGGTTACCAAGTTAAAATTAGGAAATAGAAAGTCCTTTGAGGAGGGTTTTTATTCCCTCTTACTAAAGCATTAAGTCTTTCTTGAGCATTGCTCAACAGTAATGGACACTCAAGTATTGACCAACTGATCCTTTCTAATCTTTGTTTTTGGTTCAGGCAATTCAAATGAGTGTCTCCAGAATAGTGGCTTTGAATACACCATTTGCTTTCTGCCGCCACTTGTGCTGAACTTTGAACTGCCACCAGATTATCCATCCTCTTCCCCACCTTCATTCACACTTAGTGGCAAATGGCTGTCACCAACTCAGGTTAGACTTGAAACTTAATTTTTCCTATCCATTTTTAGAAACTTAAAAATTGTCTTTAATTGAAGACTACCTTAATGATCTTGAATTCAGTGCATGAAAAACAAATGGCTTTGGTTTTGTAATTTTTTTCCCTTGCCTTGATGGATCCTGATGCTAAGAAATTAAAAATGCTTGGTGTTTTAAAAAGGAATGGCAGTAATTAAAGCAATCATGAATTGTAATAGGAGTAATTTTTAATCAAGTATATTTCTTTTCTTGTCTTGCTGTTTTCCTATTTAATCTGTGTTATAATGTAGACTATGAGATCTTCCTCATTTTTCTTAAATATTGATACTACTTTTTTTCTTAGGTTCTTATCCATTCCTTAAATGAAAGATTTCACTTTAATTAGGACTAAAAATTGAGCTAATGTAGTTATAATAAGAAAATTTTCTGAGTAAATACAATAACTGCTTTGCTTTGTAAAAATCTATATTAATAACAAGTAACAGTCAACTGGTATCACGTAGACATGAATGTATACAAGTAGAAATGTGTACAGTTCCTGTAGATATCTCATTAAGGCTTGAGGCCTTATGTAAAGAACCTCATTTCCTCTGGGTTATATATACTTTTCTAGTAACAGCCTCAACTCTTGATTGAGACATAAATATGACTTGAAGCTAAATATAGATAAAGTGTTCTGGGATAGATAATGAATCAATAGCAGCTGCTTTTCTAGAAGTCATAATGAAGATTGATAGACTGATGTGTATTAAGACGAAAGCTCAGCCTGTGCAACATGGTGAAACCCAGTTTCTACAAAAAAAAAATACAAAAATCAGCCAGGTGTGCATCCCTGTACTCCCAGCTACTCAGGAGGCTGAGGTGGGAGGAACACTTGAGCCTGGGTGGCAGAGGTTGCAGTGAGCCGAGATTGAGCCACTGCACTCCAGGCTAGGTGACAGAGAGAGACCCTGTCTCAAAACAACAAAGCAAAACAAAACAAAAAGCTGTCAGATTTGCTGACCTCAAGGGCTCATTAGTTTTTCTCTTTGGATCATACAGTTTTCATTCCCCCATCTACCAAGCTAATCTTTCAGGTTAGAGTACTTTTGTAAATTTGAGCTTATGGTTTAAACCTTAAAAAAGATAATACCATTAGAATAAAAAGGAATATTACTTTACATTCTAATATCTGTGCCAGAGGCAGCAGATGCAAGACAGTTGATCTGTTCAGGAATATCAAGACTGTTTAGCATTTAGGTCACTGATAATTGGCCGAATTATTTAGATATTCATAGTCCCATTTCACCAGTGAGCTTTTCATACTTTACATCCGTGCATGTGTGTGCACCCGCACACACACATGCACAAAACAGGGACAGATTAACTGGATGTGTGGTTGCAGTTTCAGATTGCAGCTAACCAGCATCCACTTAATGCTGGATTTGGGTGCGGGGGTGTGTGCTGGGGAAGAGAGTTGTTTTATGTGTTACAGCTAAAATTTTTACAGTAGAATTCTTTGTCAAATAATTGTTTATGCATATAATTGACATTTTAATTGGTCTCTTATATTCCTTCTTGGTTCAATTCTTGTTAGTTGATCTACCCTGATTCCTTGTCATTATGACTCTCACCTGTTAATAGTGAAATTGACAACGTTATAGGTGCCATTCCCCGAATTGGGGTGGGTAGACAGAGGGAAGTGGTTTTAGTTTTCTAGTATTTTCCCCTATTCCTCCCCCAGTATACTCACATAGTCTCTTGCTCCTTTTCCCTTAATTCCCCTCTCTCTTCAATTTACATGCATCCCAGGTGCATCTGTCTCCTCCCCCCTCTCACCTCTCCCCTTCTCTCCCCTTCTCTCCCCTTCTCTCCCCCTCTCTCCCCCTCTCTCCCCCTCTCTCCCCCTTTCTCCCCCTCTCTCCCCCTCTCTCCCCCCTCTCTCCTCCTCTCCCCCCCCCTCTCCTCCTCTCCCCCCCTCTCTCCTCCTCTCCCCCCTTCTCTCCTCACTCTCCCCTCTCTCTGATGGAGTCTTGCTCTGTCACTCAGGCTTGAGTGCAGTGGTGCAATCTCAGCTTACTGCAGTCTCCACCTAACAGGTTCAACCGATACTCCTTCCTCACCTCCCGAGTAGCTGGGATTACAGGCGCCTGCCACCACGCCTGGCTAATTTTTTGTATTTTTTAGTATAAACGGGGTTTCACCATGTTGGCCAGCTGGGTCTCAAACCCCTGACCTCAGTTGATTCACCCACCTCAGCCTCCTAGAGTGCTGGGATTATAGGCATGAGCCACCTCGCACAGCCCCAGCTGCCTCTCTTGAGAAGGGACTGGAGAAGAAAAGAAGTTGGAGAATGGCTTCTTCATGGGACTTGGTAGCTCACACAGCACTCAGAGCCTCCCTTTTAGTATTTATCACATTTTACAGATTTTTTAGCAGATTTCTCAAAAGCATGGTTGATTTATAAGCATATTTATGCAATGTGAAAAACCATTAGTTGTTCAATCTTAACTGATTAATAAGTAAGGTAGTACCTGTGCAGGGTTTAGTCAGTGGCACTATGCGGAGTGTAAGAAACAGGAAATCTTGTCCCTTTTTATTTGTCATTTAAATTTACAATATTTGCCATCTGGAAGGCCTACTTTTGGATGTTTACCTAAAAAAGAAAAGCTGCTTATAATTCCTGTGCTCTATTACAAATATTTTATATTTCTAATGGAGAATCCTCTTATATTTGCCTTTCAAATTGAACAGACCACTTTTAAAGAGAAAAACTCCAAATAATTTAACTTCAGTTGCTTATCTTAGGAAGTGTAAGCTTTCTCTATGGCTGCTAAATCATGCTGAGGGCTTCTGATTATGACCAGGGTCAATGTCAGTCAGCTTTTCTCCATTAACTGGGATCTGATATAAGCCCAGATTGCTTAGTTAAAAGCAGCTTGTAAATCTAAATCTAAACAAGGACTCTGAGGCTGAATTCTGTTAGTGATTGTTTCAGATGAGTTGACTTCTTGATAGAACTGAAAATTAATTTTAAAACTTGGATAGTATTTTTAAATGATTCTTTTTCTAACCATTATTCTAGGATACTGACAGGGCTAGGACTCCTAATGGAAGAAAAATAGTTTATTTTTAGAACTAGATCTGTTTCTCCTACATGAAACTTACGGCAATACTAAAAGATTAAAGAACAGAAAAAAGTCCTCCATTTCAGTGACTAAAATGTGCAGCTATTTCTCTGTCTTATGGAGTCTTCCTGTTTCTCTTGTTCTCATGGTTCTTCTTGCTCCTGACTTTGTGTTCTACTCCAGCTCATGTTGCTGAATAGCTTAAGAAGTACTCCAATAAGAATGTTTATACTATCTTGAGTACAGTGTATCATAGCAGTAAAAAATAGTGTTAGGAAGTATAAGGGCCTAACTTGCAAGTGGAAAAGATTTCTAGGGAAACCAGCAGTTGGTAGCAGCATCATCTTTCCAAACTCACCAACATTTTCTTGTGTTTTCTCCTAGCTATCTGCTCTATGCAAGCACTTAGACAATCTATGGGAAGAACATCGTGGCAGTGTGGTCCTGTTTGCCTGGATGCAATTTCTTAAGGAAGAGACCCTAGCATACCTAAATATTGTCTCTCCTTTTGAGCTCAAGATTGGTTCTCAGAAAAAAGTGCAGAGAAGGACAGCTCAAGCCTCTCCCAACACAGAGCTAGATTTTGGAGGAGCTGCTGGATCTGATGTAGACCAAGAGGAAATTGTGGATGAGAGAGCTGTGCAGGATGTGGAATCATTGTCAAATCTGATCCAGGAAATCTTGGACTTTGATCAAGCTCAGCAGATAAAATGCTTTAATAGTAAATTGTTCCTGTGCAATATCTGTTTCTGTGAGAAGCTGGGTAGTGAATGCATGTACTTCTTGGAGTGCAGGCATGTGTACTGCAAAGCCTGTCTGAAGGACTACTTTGAAATCCAGATCAGAGATGGCCAGGTTCAGTGCCTCAACTGCCCAGAACCAAAGTGCTCTTCGGTGGCCACTCCTGGTCAGGTAACTGTTTACCCTGCTGATGGGTGCCTCTTAATTCTCTTCCACAAATGGAGATATCTTCTTGGGAACTTCATTGATAGGGTTTATGAGGCAGTCTGAGGCCTTGGAGCCAGCCTGCAAGTTGTTTCACTGTATCCATTAAGAACTCTGTGGTCTTAGTCTACTGCTTAAGCAAATGGAATGCTTCCTTTGGCCTTGCAGTGGTCAAGGATGAGTGTTAAAGTAGTTATTAAGTAACTGTGGTAATTTACTTTGTATATCTGCTAGGATCCCATGAACTTTGGGCAATCACTAGCTTATGCTTGTTTGAGGTTGGGATTTGAAGGGAACATCTCTTGGAATGATTAACCGACTTTTTTACAGATTTTAGCATAAGTACAGCCTACTTAGGTTTTTTGTTGTTGTCATTTTGTGTTAGTTTTTTGAGACAGTCTTTGTGTCACCCAGGCTGGAGTGCAGGGGCACCATCTCGGCTCATTGCAGCTTCTGCCTCCGGGTTCAAGTGATTCTCCTGCCTCAGCCTCCTGAGTAGCTGGGATTACAGGCACCTGCCACCATGCCTGGTTAATTATTTTTTTTTTTTTGTATTTTTAATAGAGATGGGATTTCACCATATTGGTCAGGCTGATCTTGAACTCCTGACCTCAAGTGATCCTCCCACCTCGGCCTCCCAAAGTGCTGGGATTATAGGCGTGAGCCACCGCACCCGGTCAGCTTTTTGTTTTCTTATTAAAGCATAATTTTACTTAAAATAAACTACACATTTAAATCATACAAGGCTAGCACGGTAGCTTATACCTATAATCCCAGGACTTTGGGAGGCCAAGATAGGGTTGATTGAAACTAGGGGTTTAAAACCAGTGTGTACAAAATAGCCTGACTCCATGTCTTAAAAAAAAGTCAGTCAGGCATGATGGCAAGTGCCTATTGTCCTAGCTACTTGGGAAGCTGAGGTAGAGAATCACTTGATCCCAGGAGTTCAAGGCTGCAGTGAGCTGTGATTGCACCACTGCACTCCAGTCCTGACAACAGAGCAAGACCCCATCTCTAAAGAAATAAAACTAAAATATAAAATAAATTGTACACTTTGCTTAGTTTTAACAAACTATGTGTATAGTATATATTGCCATCTCAGTCAGTATATACTTGGTTTGATTTTGAAGTGAAAGAGAGGTTTTAGTTTATGTGCCCATCTGTTTTACACTGTCGTCCTAAGAATCTCCTTAGATTCAGAACTGGTTGTGGAATCATCAAACCTATGGTGTTTTGTATTTCCATCTAGGTCAAAGAGTTAGTAGAAGCAGAGTTATTTGCCCGTTATGACCGCCTTCTCCTCCAGTCCACCTTGGACCTGATGGCAGATGTGGTGTACTGCCCCCGCCCATGCTGCCAGCTGCCTGTGATGCAGGAGCCTGGCTGCACCATGGGTATCTGCTCCAGCTGCAATTTTGCCTTCTGTACCTTGTGCAGGTTGACCTACCATGGGGTCTCTCCATGTAAGGTGACTGCAGGTATGTTTTAACTACATGAACCCATACCCCCATCCCCAATCTCTCCCTGACATCTCACTCCCCTACCAGTGCTTTCTGACTTCATTCTTCAATTTGGAAGTCTTCATCCAACAGACATTTCTGTGTCAGTGACTAATCTAGGCTCTGGGACTGTAGTAGAGACCAAAAGAGACAAAAATTTCTGCCGTCATGGAACTTACATACTACTAGTGGAGATAGGAAAACAAAATAAGGATATCAGGTGGTGGTAAGTGCTGAGGAGGCAGAAGAAATAAAGCAAGGATAGGATATGAAATGTTCTGAAGGGGAAGGGACTGGGATTTTAGTTAGAGAAGCCAGGGGAGGCCTCACTGGCAAAATGGTTTAAGTAAAGACTTGAAGGAGATAAGAAAAACCATGCAGATATCAGGAAGGAACATTCCAGAAGGAATGGCACAGCAAATTCTATCTATGAACATGGAATAATATAGATCCTGGATGGCAAATGCAGGGCATCTAAGCTGCCATTCTTGTCTCCATGGCACATGTGTTTGACCAGTCATCACATGCTTTCTCCTTGAGCCCAGAGAAGTCTCAGAATCTTCTTCAACATGGCACCTCAGAAAACTACCCTCTGATGAAGTAGACATAGGAGTGAAACATGTTTGCCATCTCCAGTTGAGATAAGGAATCATAAATCAGGTCCTTAATGTCGATTTAACTGGGCTTTGGTGGCTTAGTCTTTCTCAGACTAACAGGGATGATGATAACAGCTACTTCACAAAATTGCAGCTAGAGCAGATAACAATAACTTTGCAGGGTTATTTTAAGGATGAAGGGAACTAATATAGTGCTATTCAAAATTGTTAAATTTGTTACACTGGTCTATAATAAGATACAGAAATTGAGAGGGTTAGAAACTTTTGACAGTGGAAATAAAAAAGGTCCTTTATCATAAATAGTTTGAGAAACAGTGGGCTAATACATGGAAAACGGAAAATGGAAAATGGGTCCAGGTACAATGACTCACCCCTGTAATCTCAGCACTTTGGGAAGCCAAGGCAGGGGTGTTGCTTGAGTCCAGGAGTTTGACACCATGGCAAAACCCTGTCTCTACAAAAATATATAAAAATTAATGGGATGTGGTGATGCACACCTGTAGTCCCAGGCACTCAGGTTGCTGAGGTGGGAGGATCACTTGACCCCAGGAGGTAGAGGTTGTGGTGAACCAGATTGCATCACTGCACACCAGCCTAGGAGACAGAGTGGGATCAAAAAAAAAAAAAAGGTAATTATTAATACTATTATTATTGTAGTTATTACTTGCTAATGTTAGCAGAGTGTCATTATTTCCAAGAAAGTACCCTGAGAGGAAAGAGTGGATAGGTAATTTCAGTTGCATCAGCCAGCATCTTGTAGGTAGGCCTCTTCATTATCAAATGGTGAACGGTGCTGACTTAGTGGAAAATGTCTTTCAACCTTTGTGTCTTTTAGATAAGTTAGTCTTTAACTGTATACCTCAGTTGCATCAACATACCAACATTAAGAAATCAAAATGAAAGGAAAAAAATAGCCTATCTTATTCTACCACCTTTAACAGGTACATCTTTTCCATTTAGGCGAGTCCTTTCCATTCATTATCATTTGTGATATATAATTTTTACTGGGTTATAACATAAACTCTTTTTTCTGGATTCTGTGGTGAATGTTTTGAGTTGTAGCCAAGTTAATTATGTCTTCCAAACATAACTATTTCCTTAGAAATTTAATTTTTTTGCCATTGTTAATGCATCTCCATGCATATGACTTTGGATTTTTTCCTTATGATAAAGTTCTAGGAATAGCATTATTGAATAGTCAAAGATTATTGCCATTTTATTCATTTATTTTTTAAGGCAATTTTATAAGTTTATTTGATGTATTTGATGATCAGCGATTAGTTCTCATCCACATTGACTGTATGTAGATTTTTGAAAGTGGTAACAGGTACATAGGTAACCAAAGTATAGAGCTTATTTGGTGAATATTCATCCTCATTACATTTTCTGGACAACCGCACCTGGATTCAGTATGGGACATTCCTCCTAATTCAGATAACTTTAGCACCTTCTTCCTTTGGCCCAGACAGCTTTGTTGAGCCTGGTATCAGTGCACACATCTGGAGTTCCCATCTCCTTCATAGCAAATTTCTGAATCTCTTTGGTGCCTGAGGGACACGCTTCTTGAAGCCCACTCCATAGATGCGCTTGTGAAAGTTGATGGTGTATTCTTGGGTCACCACCTCGTTGATGGCAGAACGGCCCTTTTTCTTCTTGCCACCCTTCTTTGCGGGAGCCATTCTGTCGGGTCCGAGTTGGAAAAAAAGTGCCATTTTAAATGACTTTTAGTCAGCATTATAAAGCTATATAAAAGTTAATTTTCCATTTCACTTTCTAGAGAAATTAATGGACTTACGAAATGAATACCTGCAAGCAGATGAGCCCAATAAAAGACTTTTGGAACAAAGGTATGGTAAGAGGGTGATTCAGAAGGCACTGGAAGAGCTGGAAAGTCAAGAGTGGCTAGAGAAGAACTCCAAGAACTGTCCATGTTGTGGAACTCCCATAGAGGTAAATGTTTTGGGACAGAGTTGGAGGCTATCAGCCTTGCAAGCATGTTATGATTGCTTATTACTTAAGCCTTATTAGTCAATTTTATGACTTAGAAAACACATGCTGGTATTTTTACACTTTCTAACTTAAAAGATGGAAATTTCACTACTAAATATTGTTATCAACCTTAAATGTATGTAGGCTTCCCTTTTCCAAGTGTTTTCTTACAGCGACCTTTGTTCTCACATTGTATCCACCTCAAAATTGAATGGATTGTAAGGAGAGCATACTAGAGCTGTGGTCAACTCTTACTTCATCTCTGTGACTAAAAAATAAATCAAATCTGATCTCTCAGAACTACCCTGGAATGCTGCACACCTGTTTAATTAAGATATACTCAGAAATTCATCCGAGCCAAAATAATTAGACAAACTATTGCTTCTTAACAAAAATCTTAATATATTTTAAAATCAAAATACATCTTTGCATTTGATTCTATTGTTCTAATCTATTATGTCTGAACTGAACCTAGTGGCGATTCCTGTTATTCCATTGAGGAAACTGGCACTATATATAATCACCTTTTTTTTTTTTTTTTTTTTTTGAGACTGAGTCTCTCTCTATTGCCTAGGCTAGAGTGTAGTACCGCAATCTCAGCTCACTGCAATCTTCACCTCCCAGCTTCAAGGAATTCTCATGCCTCAGCCTCCCAAGTAGCTGGAATTACAGGCGCCAGCCACCACCGGCCACACTTGGCTAATTTTTTGTATTTTTAGTAGAGATGGGGTTTCACCATGTTGGCCAAGCTGGTCTCGACTATTGACCTTAAGTGAGCCACCTGCTTTGGCCTCCCAAAGTGCTGGGATTACAGGCATGAACCACTGCACCAGGCCATATAATCACTTTTAACATACCTTAGCTCTATGACAAAGTGGAGGACTTGGTGCCAAATATTTACTTTGATTTATGTAAAAATTAAAAACCCACACTTGTTACATCCAAATATTTTAATGTTAATCTAACTACATGCTCCAGTTATATGTGTGTAATTTATATCTACTGTTTATCAGAAGAGACTGTGCCAAGTAGTAACACTAGCTACCTATTTTCTGTATTTTACTTGTAATATAAAATAGAAAGCATTACATAGTTATCAGTGACTAGGAGAATGTTGTACTGAATCTTTTTGGCAGGTGCATGCCTCTTCTGCTTTTACAGCCTTGTTTATTTTTCTCTTTCTATTCTTCCCACCAGAAATTAGATGGATGTAACAAGATGACATGTACTGGCTGTATGCAATATTTCTGTTGGATTTGCATGGGTTCTCTGTCTAGAGCAAACCCTTACAAACATTTCAATGATCCTGCTTCACCATGTTTTAACCGGTATGTATACACAGAATTCCTCAGGTACTTGATTTGCAGACCACAAATCCAGTGTTTTATTTAAGTACTTGGACTTATTTAAGAGAATTATCTTACCTGTTTTTCCCCATAAAGGAATTTTTATATTATTTTTCTCAAAAATGAGTTTTATAATGAGAATATACATGATGTGGAAGTTTTTGCAGTGAAAGTTTTCAAACATACAGAGAATTTGAAAGGATAGGACTATGAATAGTAGGATACTTTCCACCTAAATTAACAATTGATAGTACTTTGCCATATTTGTTCCCTTAACATTTTTAATGAACTACATAGATTTATGATAATGCTTCAACTCTAAATATTTCCACCTTTCTCCTAAGATAAGGAAATGCTTCTACATAATGGCAGTACTTTAAAAAAATGTAGTGATAGTGGCATATTGCTATCTAGTAAACACACATATTTGAAATTTCCTAATTATCCTTGAAAATATCTTTTTTTTTTTTTTTTTTGAGACGGAGTTTCGCTCTTGTTACCCAGGCTGGAGTGCAATGGCGCAATCTCGGCTCACCGCAGCCTCCGCCTCCTGGGTTCAGGCAATTCTCCTGCCTCAGCCTCCTGAGTAGCTGGGATTACAGGCACGCACCACTGTGCCCAGCTAATATTTGTACTTTTTAGTAGAGACGGGGTTTCACCATGTTGACCAGGATGGTCTCGATCTGTTGACCTCGTGATCCACCAGCCTCGGCCTCCCAAAGTGCTGGGATTACAGGCGTGAGCCACTGCGCCCAGCCCGAAAATATCTTTTAAAGTTATTTGATTGAACCAGAATCTAAACAAGTTCAGTCAATGGATTTGGTTCTGTCTCTTTAGTCTCTTAATACAGAAAAGCTTTGGCCCACCTTTGTGTGTGTGTCTGTGTGTGTCTATCTGTGTGTATCTGTGTGTGTTGTGAACATTCATTTTTTGAAAAGTCCAGGCCAGAAGTCTTATATAACATCTTACCTTCTAGAGTTTTATTTGTCCATGATGTCCTTTAGCTTGTTTCTGTATCCTATTTGCTATAAACTGGCAGGTCTAGACTGAAGTTTGATCAGATTTAGAGTAACATTTTTTCTGCTGATACTTCATGAGGAGTGATGTGTATTCCACATTGGATCACATCAGGAGGCCCATGATGTCCTCCATTAGTGTGGTGCTCAGTTCTACTGTTTGCTTTATTGTAAAGGTAAGTTTTCCATTTTGTCATCAGTAAGTAATCTGTGGGGTGATTCCTTGCCACAATGGGAATATCCTGTTCTCCAAGAGCTCCCACTTTCAGCATCAGTTGATGATCTTTGTTAAGGGGTGTCTATTAAGTAAATACATTGGTATTGTGAAACTATAAGAGAAATTGAAGAAACAACCCCTGCCATGAACTATTGGAAATCGAGCAGTGGAAATTGCATAAATTGTAGGTAACATAAGGAAAGGAAGACAAACTGATAGCTACAAAACATTCAGGGTACAAGGACCATGAAGACAGAATGGAGTGATGAACATGTAATATTTATAGTAGTGTCTTCAAAGAGTTCAGTTGCTTCTAAATTGCCTGACTTCCCCAGTCTTGGCTTATTCTGTGTATTGTATACACTGAGTATCAGTTTTGTGATACTCATCCCCCATTATTGTTTATCCTTGGTCCTGGAGAGTTTATCTGGATTCTAAAAGGATTGTTTTGTTTGTTTGTTTTAATTTGGAAAGGAGAGCTTTATTTCTCATAAAGAGTTGCAGCCTACAAGGTGGCCATTCTGACAGGTTGGGAAGCATAGCCTTCAGCCAGAAGCTAGAAACAGACACTTTAAGGTTGGGAAGAGGAAGAGAGGGATTTATGCCCTACAGGATAGCCAGATGTACATATTCAATAAGCTATAGGAGGAGTCATGAATATTTATGAAAGGAGAAACATACCGCATGTGCAGTTGAGCTTCATTCCCATTCAGGGGACCCATATTCAAAAAATTATGGCATTGGCTGGGAGCGGTGGCTCATGCCTGTAATCCCAGCACTGTGGGAGGCCAAGGTGGGCAGATCACCTGAGGTCAGGAGTTTGAGACCAGCTTGACCAACATGGAGAAACCTCATCTCTACTAAAAATACAAAATTTTAGCTGGGCGTGGTGGCACGTGCCTGTAATCCTAGCTACTCAGGAGGCAGGAGAATTGCTTGAACCCAGGAGGCAGAGGTTGCAGTGAGCCGAGATTGCGCCATTTCACTAGAGCCTGGGCAACAAGAGCAAAACTCCATCTCAAAAAAAGAAAAAAGGTGGCATTAGCATGATCTGTGGGGGAGTACTCTGACATAAAATGGTGAAGCAGAGAACAGGAAAACCTCAGTACACATCCTCCATAGACTGGCTAGAACCGCTCTATTAGCAGGAAGAAATGCTGGTCCGCTTTTGGTGTCAAATCTGTAGAAGGGAGGGACAGTGTCAGGCTGTTGGTTGATACCAGCTGTGGAGCAAATCTTCCCAAAGGGTTGGTTTGTTTAACCCTTAAGAAAGAAAACCTAATGGTGGTCAGTGAGGGAGGGGGCTATGACTAGGTATGTCTGGCCTCCCATTTTCAAGATTTCTCTGGGGTCCCCTTGGCCAGGAAAGGGTCTGTTCAGTTGGTTGTGGGATTTACGTTTCACTTTGATTTCTCATTTTCACCCTTTTGGCTGAGATTTGCCAGAGGAAGCACTGATGGTCAAACTTATTTTGTCCCATATCGTTGCTGGAGTGGTAGGGCAAACCTGCCTGCCTCAATCCAGGCCCTCAGTGGGACCGCTGTGGCCAAAAGACTTACAGCCAGATAGGAACGGAGCTGGGCAGGTACTCATCCACCCTAAAATGGCTGTTCTTAACCAACTTTAGGGTAGATTGTTCAGAGGGACCCAGATTTCAGCCCTCCTTAGTGGAATGAGTAAAGGAGCAGAAAAGATGTACAGAAATGTTATAAGAGTACAGAAAATATTTTTGAGAGGAGAGACAATTTATATTGTTTTGTTCAAGTGTTTTAAAGTGTACCTTTCTTTATGCTTCCAGGCTGTTTTATGCTGTGAATGTTGATGACAATATTTGGGAAGATGAGATTGAAGACTAGTTAACTACTGCTTAAGATATGGAAGTGGATTGGTTTTCCCTAATCTTTTGTCAAGTATACAAAGTAACTTTGCAGGATATTTAGGATACTATTCATTCATTCTTCCTGTGTAGAAGTTATGGAAGAACAACGTTTATATTTTCATGTGGTACTACTGAAGAAGGTGCATTCATACATTTTTTAATGTAAGTTGAGAAAAATTATAAGCCAAAGGTTCGGAAAACGAAACTACAGAATATTATAATGTGCCCAAAGCTCTGAATAGTTAAAAATTAAATATTTATTTTCTTCCCCAAGCTTTAGGTAAGGAGAAGAGGGGTCAAGAGTTAAACTTAGAGACCCTTTGTCTCTGAGAAGCATCCTTCTAAGACATTCTGTTGGAGCTCCCTCAGTACTACTCCTTACAACTGGGGTGGGTAGAAGCCTTATGAAAATTATACTGAGACCCTGATCTCATTTACTCCATGTTAATCACATTCCTACCAATCTAAATTTCTGCCAAGTAAATTCTCTTTAGAGGAAGTCCTTTACTCTGAAACTGACTGGATGGTCCAGTGTCATTTTGATCTACTTTTGAGAATGGAAATTTATAATAATTTAAAAATATATTTTAATACCACAAACACTGTGGGGCACTTGATATTTATTAGTAGTGTATATGGTCCACTGGTTTCAGGCCAAATCTATAATTTAGTGATACTGGCTCAGAGAATTTTAGTTCTATTCAACTTCCTTGGGTGTTAGAGCCTAGATTCAAAATGACTTGTCTTTGCTACTTTTGTTCCACATTCTCCCTCATTACCTTTTCCCTACCTTCTGTTTGTAAGGACAATTTTAATATTCCAGAAGCACATGTTTTTATTTCCTCTGCTGGATTAGGAGAAAGCTTAATATATTCCCAAGCTGAATGTTCTTGAATTATCCACATTTACCACTGTACATGTGTATAATGACAGTATAACCTGTCTATACCACCGTAGTTCCAGTCCTAATATTCTGAATTATTTTTAAAGATCTTCTCTAACAAGCTATGGGAATTTGGCTTCATACTCTTTGTTTGCAACAGCAGTGTTTGGGGTGATAATTTTGAATTGCTACCTGTTCCTTTTTCTGGGTTTTGTTGGCTTTTTGAAAAATTGTCTTTTCTTATCGTTGGTGAGTGGCTTGGTAGCAAAGTAAAATTTTTTGGAAAAGAGGACAGAAAAATTGAACTGCAGCTTGACAATGTATTCTTTTTTTCCCTACTTTGTCATTGAAAATTGAGCAATCACTTTTAACTGTTTTAGATATGTGTGTCCAAAGTGAGCAAAGACTGTGTTTTTGGATTGTCAAAGAGGATGCTTAATCTTAAAAATAAAAATAAAGTTTAAGATTATCTTATAATTAGAACAGAGTTGCTGCTATTTGTTCTGCCATCAAGGCAACTAATCACATTTTAAAATTGTTTGGCATATAACACATTCTTAAGAAAAGGTCACAGAATAGCATCTCTTTTACCTGGGCTTGTGACTGAGCTGAGGTTTTAGGGCCCATATTTTGTTTAAACCAGATAGTTTCATGTCTTCCATTCAGGACATTTTGTATAAAAACTGAGGTTAATTTAAAGAATAAATTGAAGATAAGAAATTAAAATGATTTGTTCTACAATGTATACCTGAGAAGAGTGATTTCTTTGATCAAAGAGGAGTTTAATTCAGATTATTCAGAAAGAGCTACTCAGAAGCTCTATAGTTCATGAGCTAGTTGTTATTTTCTAGAGATCATTTTATTTTAAGCTGTTGTACATTGTTGATGATGTCATGGAAGTAGGAAAGAAGCCTTTATAATATAATTTTATGAAAGAAATGAAAGGCTTTTTTCCCATTTATGATAGTAACAACACAACACAGATGTTTGGTGTTTAGTCTCAAAAATTTGGTCACCTTAGTGATTCTCTCCAAAGTGCAAAGTCTTTATCACTCAATTTTAACAAAGAAAATAGGGCTTGTATTTTTGAAGGATGAGTTATGAGCTAATTTTAAGATGGTATAGTTTTGGTAGAGTACTTTTGTCTTAGTAAAATGAAAGATTTGGGTAACTCCCCAAATGCCTTGTAAAACAATTGGGTTTGTAGAAGGTTGCTGTGTCAGCAAAATATGTGATAGAATAAAGAGTTTTGTACCTGCTTTAATTTCATGAAAGTCTTTTTTACTAGTGAGCTGAGATTTGCCATAAATTAGTATGAACTTCATGGGTCTTTTTTCTTTTGAGACAGGGCCTCACTCTGTTACCCAGGCTGGAGTGCAGTAGTGTAATCATAGCTCACTGCAGCCTTGCTCTCCTGGTCTGAAGCAATCCTCCCACTTCAGCCTCCTGAGCAGCTGGGACTACAGGCACATGCTGCCACACCCAGCTACTTTTTTTTGTTTGTTTGTTTTTTGTTTTAATGTTTAGTAGAAATGAAGTCTTGCTATATTACCCAGGCTGATCTTAAACTCCTGAGTTCAAGTGATCTTCTGCCTTTGCCTGCCAAAGTGTTGGGATTACAGGCATGAGTCATGGTGCCTAGGCTCCTGGGTGTTTTGTGGGGGAGTTTGAAGAGTCAGTGTCTCTTCATTTTTATATAAAAAGTTTGGGTCTAGAGCTGATAAATGAAAATAAGCTACCAAATAACTTTTTTTTAAAAGTCAAAATAGAAGCTCTGTGACATTTTAAGCTTGTGATCAAACTAACTTAAGGACCTGCCTCTGTCAATTGAGATGCATCTTGTTTCATCCATCTTTCTTTTAGTTTTAATTTTTATTATTATAATTTTTATTTAGCTACCCTATTAACAAACCATCCTTTTATTTAAAAAGACCCTGTATTTTAGAAAATAGATTTACAGAAAAATTGCAAAGATTGTACAGTGTTCCCATGTACCCCATACTTGGTTTTCCTTATTAACATATTAGCGTGGCACATTTATCACATTAATGAAGCAGTATTGCTATTATTGAGTTCATACTTTTTTCAGATGTTCTTAGTTTTACCTAATGTCCTTTTTCTATTCCAGGATCCCTTCTAGGATACCACATTATTAGATACAGTCATTGTGTTCCCTTAGACCCCACTCAGCTGTCATAGTTGTCTCATCTGTTTTTCTTTTTCTTTTTTTTTTCCTCTTTTTTTTTTTCTTTTGTGTTTTTATTTTTATATAAACATTATACCTTGGTATATCTGGATTGGGCAGGAGCCCAAAACACTTTTAAAGACAGGTAACTTAATCCTAGCAGGCTCAGCAAATCAATGATTTCTTTTTGACTGAGATCTTTTGTAGCTTTAAATTGGTTACTTCTCAGGATGCTCCAGTGCTGTATATGCAGTTTTAGGCTGTTCACCTGTTCTGGTAATTTATCTGCTCAGCTTCTTGAGAAACATTAAACATTTGGCAAGTTGATCAAGTCAGGGAGTCAGCTGGACCCATTAGACTGTACACTGGTGTGAGAATTAGCTTGCTATCTTGGCTAAATCCCAAAGCTTGTTGAGTAGATGTATCCCTTCCTGTTGACCTGTGGAGGAGCTGGTGAAGTTAAGAAAGGCTGAGAATCAGAAGAAGCCATATTCCCAGACAGACTTGTGGTGTTGTCAGCAGTCTTTTTTTTTGAGACAGTCTCACTCTGTCACCCAGGTTGGAGTGCAATGGCATGATCTCGGCTCACTGCAACCTCTGCCTCCCAGGTTCAAGAGATTCTCCTGCCTCAGCCTCCTGAGTAACTGGGATTACAGGTGCCCTCCACCACACCCGGCTAATTTTTTTTTTTTTTTTTTTTGCATTTTTAGTAGAGATGGGGTTTCACCATGTTGGCCAGGCTAGTTTCAAACTCCTGACTTCAAGTGATCCACCTGCCTTGGCCTCCCAGAGTGTTAGGATTAGAGGCATGAGCCACCATGCCTGGCCCAAAGTCATTTGCCCAGAGTCTTCTTTTTTAGTTGTGGACAGTTCTAATTTACATTAGTAATCTATTAATGTACTTAGTATTTATTTCTTCTGTCAAGAGTAATGAGAGTTAATTAGAGGAGATAATAATAAAGTTATTCATGTGGCTGTCTGCTTTGAAAGGGAATTTCAGAATTTTGACTGGAGTTTGGATCTCCCACCTAGTATTAACTTTGCCAGCAGGTGGCAGAAGTTCCCATGTTATAAAAATATAGTCACTGGCAGTCTCCTTGCCATGGTGCATCAGAGCAGAGTATGAGTCTTGAGGTGGAGGGACTCATGGCAGGACAGGCGTTTAGAAAGTTTCTTCCATTCTTTGACTGAGTATTGGTTGAAAAGAGTGCTGCTGAAACTGTAACCACAGGAGGCATTACACTTCCAGAAAAATCTCAAGGAAAAGTGTTGCAAGCAACAGTAGTCGCTGTTGGATCGGGTTCTAAAGGAAAGGGTGGAAAGATTCCACCAGTTACCGTCAAAGTTGGAGATAAAGTTCTTCTCCCAGAATATGGAGGCACCAAAGTAGTTCTAGATGACAAGGATTATTTTCTATTTAGAGATGGTGACATTCTTGGAAAGTACATAGACTGAAATAAGTCACTACTGAAATGGCGTCAACATGAAGTTACCCTTTCAACTGAAGTTCTGAAATCTTTCATCATGTAAATAATTTCCATATCTCTCTTTTATAATAAACTAATGTTAACTGATGAAAAAATATATAGTCACTGATTAAGACAGGTAAGAGTATGTTGTTTTGTTTTAGAAGTAGATGTAACTTCTGGTATTTAAATTTTTCTCATTTTTCTCATTATATTTCATTATAGTCTGTTTTATACTTTAGTAGACAGAATGGTATCTAACAATACTAGCAAAGCAGGAACAGCAGTATTATCAGAAATTTTTAAATACTTAAAAGTACGTGAACCACAGTTGACATGCAGTTGTTACATAGCAGAGTGTCATTCCTGATAGTGGCACTTACCTTCAGCCACCGAATTAGGGAAATGAAGTTGTATACAAAGCTCCTAAGTAGGACCAAGGAATTGTAACGTCATGGTCCCTTCTGATGCTGGTAAGAGGAGACAGCCTGCTCCCCAAAACTTAACTAAAAAAATCAGGCCAGACTAAGTGTGGTCAGAAATCTGGCTATGGGAGATTTAGAGGTATTCTTAACAAATGTTGATGGTAATAATCAACTTTCAGCACCCATCGTGTAGACTGTACAGTTTCTCAGCTTGTCTGAAGATTTACCACTCCAAGGATTCCCACATTTCTCTGAGCCAGAGGATGCTTTGGAAAAGATTGTGTACATTGGAAACTTAGGGAGATTTGATGCTGAAGTTGCTAAGTACAAAGTCAGCATAGTCACTTCGTTACCTTGCTTGTATCTCTTTTTTTCCCTTAATTATAAAAACGAAAAAAGGAAAAACAACTAAACTTACACTAATACAACATAAATACACGTAAATTTTAAAAGCGATTGTGGGTCTTACCCTCAGTCTCATTCTACTTTTTGCAACCTATAGTATTGCCTAGAATAACTCACTTAACAAATATTGATGGAATACCTTGCAATGGGCCTTACTCTTTTTCAAGGTGGTGAGATTGTAGCAGTAAATAAAACAGGCTTAATCTCCCTGCCAATGTGGAACTTAAATTCTGGCAGAAGGAAAGAGACACTAAGTAAATTATCTGGTTGATCAGAAGATAAGTGCCATGGGGCCGTGTGCAGTGGCTCATGTCTGTAACCCCAGTGCTTTGGGAGGCTGAAGTGAGAGGATCACTTGAAGCCAGGAGTTTTGAGACCAGTCTGGGCAATATAGCAAGACCCTGTCTCCAAAAAAAAAACCTCTAAAAATTGGTTGGCTGCAGTGGTATGTGCCTGCAGTCCCAGCTGACCCTCAGGATGCTAAGGCAGGAGGATTTCTTGAGCTCAGGCAGTCAAGGCTGCAGTGAGCCTTGATCACACCACTGCACTCTAACCTGAATGACAAAGGAAGACCTTTGTCTCAAAAAACAAAAAAGTCATAGAAGTTGGGGAGAAGAAATACAGAGTTAGGGGAGGCAGGGCAATGTTGGAATCTTACAGAGAAGACTCCATCAAGATAGCACTTGAACAAAGGCTGGGCAGCATGAAATTGAACCTTCTGGACACCTGGGAGGAGAGAATTCCAGGCAGAGACAGCATGGGAAAAGCCCTTGGGATATGAGCTTGTAAGCGGGCTCTAGGAACAGTGCGGTAGCCAGTCAGGGCTGAAGCAAACCAAGGAAGAGTGAGAGACAAGGAAGATATGAGCAGGTGGTGCTGTAGACTATATAGAGCCTTGTGTGAACTTTGGCAGCCACTCTGAGATGGGGGGCTTTGAGCAGAGTAGTGATAGGGTCTGGCTTGTGTTTTAGGGGAATGGTGAGCAAAGGTGGAAACAAACCAATTAGGAGGCAATTTACAGTAGCTCAGAAGTACAGTTGGCTTTTACCAGGGTGCCAGAAGTTAGAATCTTGAGAATTGATTAGATTCTGTACTTATCTTGAAGGTAAAACTAATAGGAGTTGTTGATAGGCTTGATGTGTAATGTGAGAAAATAATGCATCAGGGTTGATTTCTAGGTATTTTTGAGCAGTTGAGATGAGAAAACTGTAGGTAGCACAGATTTGTGGCTGAATATCAGGAATGTGGTTGTGGATAGGTAAGTTTGAGATGCCTGGTAATTATCCCAGGGGCGATGACAGATAGGCAGCAGGATATTCTAGTCCAGAGTTGAAGGGAGTGACTCAGGCTAGAGATAGAATTATGGGAGTCAACATGTAAATGGTATTTAAAGCCATGAGACTAGATGAGATTACTAAGGCAGTGAGTTGTATATAGAGAAAGGTCCAAGGACCGAGTATTGGTCACTCCAGATGCTAAGAGGTCAAGGAATGAGGAAGAACCAGCAAAGACAGATAGTGGCCAGTAAGGTAAGAAAACCAGCCGTGTGTGGTGTCTTGGAAACCAAGTCAAGTTTAAGGGAAGGAATAATCAACTGTGTCATGTGCTGCAAAAAGGTCAAGTACTGTGAGCTGTAACAGTTGTAGTAGTCAGTGTTGAGGTCCCTGGGACTTTGACAAGTGCTGTTTCATTGGAGGGCAGTTGCAAATCTGGAATGTGTTTGAGAAAGAATGGGGTGTCCTCATAATAAGAAAAAGGCCGAGCAAACTGATAAACAGCTTTTCTTACATCTATCAGAGAATTGAGGTCACAGGGCAAATCTTCACTACAAAAACAAGCAGGAAAATGGAGGAGATCAGCTCACCTAAGGCAGAAGCTGCTGGAGCCAGTAATTAAGATTTAAACAAATTGCTGTGAGCTAAGTGTGGACTAACTAGCTTGAGAATTCAAAACCAGGAGCTAGTCTAAGGGGACCCCACACTTTGGTGGGTTTTACCTCAAGGAGACCCACTGGGTTCTCCTGTAAAGATGGCAGGAAAATTCCCTTGTGCTTTGGACACAAGAAGGGGAAAGTAACCATTCTGAAATACATCCAGGAAGAAAGTAGCCCCAGAGCTTCTGTTCTCCATGGCAGAGAACAGTTTTCTCAGGGAAAACTACTTGCAGGAACCTTCTCTAGCCTAGGAGAAAGGCAGATGGATGGCTTAACCTGCCTCTAGCCTTCCTGTCTCACATAGGAGGAAAAAACAAGGCTCCACTAAAGAAAAGACAGATTTAATCATAAGAGTATGCAGTGCTTCTGCTCACCAATACGATACCATCAGTAGGGCTCCAGGATTACAGTGGATTACAACAGAGAGAGCTGCAAGATACAGACTCTATTTTAAGAAGGAATTTCTAGGGAAACCCGAAGACAACAGTGAAGACATGGACATTGAGGAAAATCAGAGCCTCTAGCACCTACAGTGAACATTAGACGCAGCCTGTTAGCCAGATAAACACACAACTTACATTAAAGGCCTGTTTACCTCAGTTCTTGTTACCTAATACATCATGTCTGGCTTTAGTAAAAAAGTACAAAACATGCTAAAAGAGAAAAAGAGAGCAAGCATCAGAGCCAGACTCAGATATGGTAGAGATTTG